CTTGTGTGGCTCTCATCATTTAAACAAGGAAATAAATCTAAAACTGACTGAAATTTTCAGTGAACCATGTGATTTTTGCACAAAATTTCTTAGTTAAAACTGAAAGTGTTGATGGGGAAAATAAAATTGAAAATAGCAGAACTCACCATCGTTAACGCGTAATGAAGAGAGAGAGAGGAACTGGTAGTGTAACACGGCACAAACAGAATGTACAATGAATTCAACTTGCAGGAGGCTTTTAACTAGCTTTGAGAAGTTGAAGTCTGCTGCTACCTTTACACATCTCATACATTCTCTAGCTTCAGCTTTCCTTGCCACAACAATTTTTAGCTCACATTACACTGTGCCAATAACTTGTGCACTTCTTTTGCTTACATAGAAAACTCTAATCCTTTTTGAATTATATTACCGAGAAATCTTGATTGATTTTGAACGTAGTACCGAATTTCAAGATGCCGATTGTGATATGTCAGACCCTGAAATGATGCATGCATCAGAGAGCGTAAATGTATAAGTTAAGCTTCAACTTTTAATCTGAACACCAGGATCTAATCTATTTTGCCACGAGCTTAAATTTTAGTAGGAACTCCAAGTGTCTGAATATGTCTCTGTGCACTGCAACAAACGCATTCATGCAAGCAGCAACTCATTGAGTAAAAGCAATAAATTCATTCCACATTTCTTTTTAAAAAAAATCATGTTTTTAAATAATTTCAACTACTGAAATTGAATCAATATAACATTGAATCAGTATAAGCTACCATTCCTGTCGTCTTAAACGATATTATTCAAATTTCGCTGCTTAAAAATCGTCTGTTATTTTCAAAAAATTAATATAAATAATGATATTTTTAATGCAACGCAAGTTTTTTGTACGAATAGATCTTCGTTTTTTAAGATTGAATACCACAGCTCTTCTCATCCAGAAATGTATTAGCTGCAGTGTAAGCGAATATTCATTTTCCTGCACTTTTTTGATGTAAATATCCTATCATATATGTGCTTATTGCATATTCCAATCATATCTGTGTTCATTTGCAATGGTTTTTCTATACACTCAGAAGTTTAAGATATAATTCATTTTTGCTCCTTATTGATGTAAAAAGTGAAACATTCATTCTGTGTCAGTATTGACAGAAATGAGATTTTCTGGGTTGCAGTTTATTTGAAACTCTTTGCAATTGTAGTGAAAAAAGGGTTCTAAAATGTGATGGCATTGGAAAGACATAGCAATAAACTATAATAAAATTTTAATTATCAATAGAGCAAATTCGATTCGAGTGCCAGTTAAAAAATAAATTTAAGCAGTAATTAAATCCAATAGTTATGGTGAAGTTTAATCAATTAGTTGAAAGTGTTTTGATGAACTATTTTCAAGTGCAAATAATAAACATCTTGTAATTGTCATTTTGGTAGCGCAATTGGTTAAAAGCTTTCTGACCTGATATTGTCGAGATACCCTCAGAATAACTGGTTGGTGGAACTCAACACTTATTCCCTTTTAAATATTAAGAGGTCAAATTGATTTCAACATTGAAAAATAAACGATTTATAAAATTTATTCCGATTTTTTATGCTCATTGAAAAAAATTTTAAGAAGTTATTAGTCAATCATAGTAGGATTTTAAGCAACCAAAAAGATTACACCACAAATCAGTTAAAAAATACATCTCACAGCAAATTTTATTTGCGCAGAAATTTACTTTTATAAAATTTAATTACAAGTCTTTTTTGGCCTACCATTTCTAGCTCACTGTTGGAAACAGTATTACAAGCAAATAAAAGCAAAATATTTTATTTAGTGGCGTTAATATTTCATTGAAATCTGAATTTATTAAATCGAAAAAAATCGAAAATCAATCCCTGAAAAAATAGTAATTAAAATTTTTTAAATTCTAAGTATCAAACATGATGTCAGGTTTAAAATTTCCTTTCAAAAAATTCGGCGATACAAAATGTAAATAAATGTGTGGGTATGTTCCTAATTCAACGTGCCTTGTCCATTTCATCTTCCTCTTCCTGTTCTTCATCATCTTCATTTTCCTACTACCAGGATTTCAATTTCAGAAACTAAGGAAAAGTGGGGATAAAGTAATATAGTATTCCTTTCACGTTTTATTTGAGCTTCTTTCTAGTATCACAAATTGTCAGTTTTGTTTTTGTTCGGCTTTAGACATTTCAAAGTGAAAAAATATTTTTATAACTAGATTTATAACGCTAATGTAGCGTTAAAAAATAAGTCATTTGAATAACTTTTAATTTTTCGTTTGTTCAGCAGTTGCTGATTATGTTTTGCGTAAATTTTTGGAAATGAATTACTTTACCAGCAGAAAATTAAAACTGTCATAGCACCCTTTTTCTTCTTTTCCAAATATGAAGGAACAAAATAAAATTGATGTCTTTCATTAATTAGCAAATATTTTAAAACCATTTCCAAGTTAAAACAGTTTATGAATGAAAAAAAATGCGTTATCTGTATGAACTTCTGGAATTTTTTCATTATGTTATGAATCCATTAACTTCCAGCTATTCACTTGCACCTATATATTTCCTTTTTCTTGTTGCTTTATTTTCAGGTTTTATCCAATTACTCTTTAATCCAAATTTTGATCACTTTACTCTTACTGCCAGCATTATTTTATCTATATGTTACAATTCGCAAGTTCCCATATTTTTCTTTTGTTGTATTTTATTCAATTACTACTAGATTTCTCATATGTCCATTTTGATCCACTGTCTTTCCCCTATTCAGAAAGTTCAGAAAGTTGTCATTCTAAATGTAACTCACAGTGTCAACCTATTATAATAAATAAGTAATTCATCAATAGTATTAAAATGATGTCGCTATTCTGCTAAAAAATGTCTCATTTATTTAGACGGTGAATATGGTTGAATGGATTTACTTTGTGTGTCTGTCAATTTTATCACACTTTAACTTTTTAGTTACTGTCACTTTCTCGCCACATGATGTCATCTTCAGTAGGTCAATCATATTAGTAACTTAATTACTGACTAAATCAATTCAATAATGCAAATCTTTTTTTTTTTTTGTTATAATTTTTTTTTTTTTTTGTTATAATTCAATTTTAGCACTATCATATATTGTCTAAATATTTTGCTAATAATCTTTTTTTTTTTTGATAATCTGTTTACGACAACATAGTTCTGATAACATTTTTTATGAATCAAGGGGAATATCGTATTCATACGCAAACCTGATAAGTTATTATGTAATTGTATTTTTGAGTTTGTAAACAAAATCCTGAGATCTCAGATTTTTACTCTCACATTCCAAATGACAACAAAATATAGACTATTTTGTAAAAAGGACAGGGAAATTTACTTACTCATAAATCTTCTGCTGAAGTAATTTTAAATGGAAGTGGATAGGTAGATTTTCATATTCGTCTTTTTATCATAACACTGATAATCAACAATAACGTAAATTCGTAAAATAAAAGACCAAAATAAAACTCATTAATGCATAAGCAATCATCGTTTGGTCATTCTTCTTCCCACAACTGCCCTAACTTTATGACATTGATTATACGTCGTAAACAAGTAATAAATGTAGCAATATGGTCATCTTGGATTCTACTGTTTAAATCATTTGCTTCTGTTCTCTCCTGTAGCGAAAGAAAAAAGGAAAAAGAATAAACATAATGTGCCGAAACTTCCGATATAATAGCACCTTAGATTTCAAATTTGCCAGAACAGTATGAGTGAAAGACAAGGATTAAAAAAAGTGCAGTTTTTTTTTTTTTTTTTTTTTTGTTTGTTCAGCGTTTTCCTCAATAGTTCAGTATCAAAAAAATTCAATTAGAAAATTTCATATTTCCTGTCTAAGCCATTACTAAGTAATCTTAAACAAAAACTTAACTATTAAAAAAACAGTAGAACAAAAATCGGAAACTTACCAATCTTTTTTTGTGAGCAAATCGATAACCATTTTTTCAAGAAAAGTCGCTAATGATGCTAAAAGATTAGTGAGCAAGTATTATGAACAAAAAGTTGTTGATTAATCTGAGATGTAGGATTTTGAGGATTATTGATTTCTGAGCACGACAAACAGGACCTTCCGAATAATACTCCAGTAAATTGCTGAGAAATTATGAAAATAGTTGCAGTGTATATACTCTGAAAACGGAAGTTCAAAAAACTTTTGACGTCTTATAGGTAGAGGGATGACAAATAGTCGTACATAAGTTTACACTTGGTGTCTTGAGAGAAACAAAGTAAAGTGTATTTTAATCCTCATATTAAATTTACTTTGCTGAAGCCAAAACTCTCCCACTCAGTAAAAGCAGTACGTCAACACTCCAACGCGGTGTTTATTATTTACGCAAACGATTCTAGGTTCACTCCCCCACCATCAAAAATCAAGTATTAATAACGATAAGGCCACATATTAACGCTCATTGCGCTTTGTTGACGCTTAATAAAAACAACAAACATCGTGGGTGGTCTCGTCAATTTTGTGCAGCACTGCGTCCCGTAGCCATCAACTGATTCCTTTCTCGTTTGTTGGGAAATGTTTGTTCTTATAGTTTACTCTCATAAAAATCTTAACCATAGTGTTTGGTTACGTGTCTTCTTGCTTTTTAAAGTAAATTAAACTGTATAAGCCATTATCTTTATTTAATAAGCTGAAATTGGGAAAAAAGAAACGTACTCGATGACCTGCTAGGTTTTTTGCAGAAAACAGAAAAAAGAGCATCCAAAAGCAGAAATGAAGGGCTTGAAGTTGAATATAAAGTATTTTTCATTTCTTTTTTTGTTGAAAAACTATAAAATTTTTTCTATAAAAATTAAGAACTAGAGAATTTCTAACCAAAAAATGAAGTAAATACTACTTTGTATTCAGGATTCATGCCCTTTTTTGTTCTACCAAAATAAATTTTTCTTACAAATAGTTCCAGTTTTTTAAAAAGTTACAAACCAGTTGCACTACTGAGATATAAGATTGACCTTGCATCACTTAACTTTCACTTGCATTTCAGTTATGTTGCATTTTGATTTTGGGAATCATTAGCATAGCATGTAACTTTCTGATAGGATCTTTTCCAAGCTGAATCGAAGCTAAGATTAACATAAATAAGACAATATAGCCAGCAAATGGTCATTGATTAAGACGATTTCATGTAATTAAAAAGGGATACAATTGATATATACCTAAAAGCATATAAATAAGTGAATTAATGATATTTCTTCGTATCCGCTGAATAGTGATTTTCTTTTCATTCTTCTTCATAGAAATTTCGCTCATCGATTTAAATTTGATTTTCAATTCTTGTTCATTAAAATCTTTTTTCTTGTATCTCTTGCTAAGCATCACCACTAATTACAACATTTTTTTGAGCTGCTTATGTTCCCTTAAGTCTTTTTAATATTATACGCTTGAAAAACAGTGCTCTGCTAAGCCTCAAAATTTAGTAATCGGCTACTATCTGTATGGTTGTGTAGAACTTCCTGTGCCTCGAGGTATTTCAGATTATATTTGGTACTAATTTTTTCCACTTTATGTTTCCTCGTATTTCTGGTCATTAAATTTAAGCAATAAAAATGCAGTTTCTTCTTGACTACATATTGATGTAGGCGCTTTCTTATTCACTACCCAACTTGATGTTGATTTGGATGAAACAGTTGTTTCCATCAACTCTTGATTCTCTTAGAGATCAAACCTTTTCAAATGATCACGCCCTTTTCTCTCTAATGATATATACCTCCTGTTCAGCAAAAAAAGAAAAAAATACTTTTTCAGCTAGCTTTCCGTTCCTTTTTCCATCTTTCAGACATACGCCGGCACATTTTACCTTTCACAATATCCAAATTCTCTTGGAGTCATTCTCTTGGAAAGCTTATTTAATTCTGGTGAAGTAAAAGTTCTCAAAATTCCATACGAACTTGTCATTAATTAAGAGACTGGGAAAAACTGAAATCTGGTTTTCCGAAGCAACGAATGATAATAAAGATTTAGCGTGCTCATATGTTCCACTGATGGAGTTTCATTAGGATTGCCAGTTGTGTCAGAAAGGATGGGAATAAACTTCTTATGTTATATGCATAGTAAAATGACGCCATTGGCTTCAAATTGAATACATTGCTGATACTAGTTTATTCAGTAGAAGAAGATAAGAACGTATGGGGTAAACAAAGTAGTCATCAAATAAACTAATCAAAGAAAAAGGGTAACTTAGAAAAGCGAAAACAACTGTAAAGTGGACTAAACAAAGAGAAGCAGTGATGAACTGTCATAACAACAAATCTGTTGGATGTAGAAAGCGCGAAATTCATCTTTAATTTAGAGCAGAATCAGAATTAAATTATCTTTCTGGATAAGTTCATTGCCTTTACTTTAGTAATTTCTTAAACTTACTGTTGTGCAATCATTATAATTATGAAGCAAATTAGGGATGATTGACAGGATGCTGTAGACAAGAGGAGAATCTTGGTGTTACGCATTCAGATCAAAACGTTCGGTATATACCGATTTAAGATCGTTCACCATTAATTAATATATGATGGATTCCCTCAAGGATTTTCAGCACTGCTAATGTGGAGAGATAATTGCAACTCAAAACTTTAAATCCAGTCATGGGGTTAATCACTGAAAATATTTTAATGGACTTGACGCTCTTATATTTAAGAGGCAACCAACCATATATTGGAAATTTTTACAATCCATTTGACTTATTTAAAAATTAGCGAATGAACTTATAGTCCATTCGCTAATTTTTTCAAGTGCTTACGTTGACTGTAAGACGAAACTTGGTTTGCTTGATACTAAAGAAATAAATTATTCAGAATTCTTGCTGTTAGTAACGAATAAATATAATACAAAAAAATTCCATTATGATCATAGGGCAATGCTTACAATGAACTATCGATTTATTATAGCAATTTTATGGAAAATGCTTATAATGCATCGCTAAACAAGTGAAATAATGAACAAAATATTTTCTGCTACGATCAATTCGAAAACGTCTTAATTTTTTTTATCGCAGTGCGCTTGTTGCAAAAATATGAAATTACTGAAAATGTAAATTTATGTAAAAATGTAGAAAATATTAATGTAAGTAGGATTTTTTCTGCATATTTTATATATAAGAAAAGTAATAAAATTTTCGAATTGTGTCCTATCACTTGTTCTATTCGTGCAATATGATAAGTTATTCTAGGTTCGCTTGGATTTACTTGGATATCCGGTATATCGGATTACTGGTGCTTCACACTGTAATAAGACAACCCGTATCCTCTATATGCAAGTGGCAATTTATATTTTTTCAGGTTTATGGACAGCTTAGCTTGCAAGTAAATATGTAACAGTATCTTTTTCAACACTTCAACATGGCACAACTGGCTTTGAACTGTTCAGGCTGTTCATAAAATTTGTTGACAAGTTTTCATTACGCTACAGATCGTTTGGTTTTGCATTGTAGAAATTAATAATTAGTAGCAATGTTTTCTACTATCGGAATGTACTTTTCTCTGCTAAAGAATTTCATGATTTCAATATGTAACCAATTGCCAATAAATAGAAACAAGTGACTGAGCGATACGGTATCTATAGCATGCAAGTTTAATAACGGTATTGTAAAAGATATTCTCTCATAAATTCCTCTGCATCATATTTTTTGAACATAAATATCCTCGCTAAATTGCTTGTTCAAAGAACTATCGATGTGGACTAACAAATTTATCTGACTGATGGTATGCATATTTAGTCTTTTATCCTTTGATCTTCTCGAATTATGAATAAAAGTAAATAAGATTTCCTAAAGTTTGCTATATGTATTAATGCCTTTAAATTGATAAAATGATGAATGTATTGAAAGCTGTGTCATGAATTAAACTTAATAAATGAATTTTTCTTTATTTACAATTTGTCAATTTATCGTTACTGCAATTCCTACTAGTACTGCATGTTTTATCATTATTAAATTAGATATAGAGATTACCTCTACGGTCGCTATCACTATTGCCACCTATCACCACCATAACTATCGCAATGCTAAATTTATTATTGGCTCTTATACAAAGCAAGCAGTTATTATTATACTAAAATGCTTCCGCTCATTTATTTCAAAAACTTTTTATTGGTGCTGATATGCAAATGCTAAAATTGAGTATTATTAAAAAGTATTTGTATGTAAAACAAAAAGAATTTCTGAACAGTCCTGTTACTTGCTTTCATCTGTAAATTTTACCCAGTATATTCCATTTTGCATTTTATAAATAATAATATATAAAAGAGTAGATTTACTGGACTGGTTTCAGTTTAAGCACTTCTAATAAGTCTCCTAAATCTTTTGTTTTATAAAAGTCAAAGACCGAAATATAAAGAAGATGAAGTATTTAGATGATGAAAAAGCTAAAACAAAAAAAAATCAATTGTAATGCACATTGTAAATGATCAAAATCAACGATGATTATTGAGCATCTTTACAAACCGAGAATGTAAAGGAAAAGCGTCAAAAAACTGAGCTAGAATTTTGATTTTTAATTATTCGGTAATTCTAATTGTTTTGGACTAGTCAGTAATTTTAAATTAGCAACCGCGTATCTTGCTTAAGTTCCATGTTCCTCCTTAATCACCACATTGTTTTATTCCAGCATGATGTCATGAATCATATATGAACTCCGAAAATTCTTATTTGTTTATGGTCACTAAGCTATTTTTCTTTTTCTTTCCTCAGAATTATGAATTATAATGACTATTTTCAATTAAAATTAAAACAATAGCGAGCACTGTGCTATATATGAAATTCTGATTTTTATTAAAATTAATAAACAAATTATCTTAGCTTACAAATTGCAGAATCAAGAAATATCTAGAAGCACAATCAACTACACCAGCGGAAACAATTAAAATGCCATTTCCAAAATGCACTTTTATGAGCATAATTATGTTTTCAGTTTAGAAATGAGAAATCAAAAATAAACTCAGTACTTTTTTTCTGGAAAAAATTTGAATATTCAGATTGGTTAAAACAATTTTTACATCATTTTACACTCTACATTGTTGTAAGCTGCAAATTTAAGGCATCTTTTTGAGGAGGTCACGAAAGACGGACTGAATACATTAAAATAAATGTCATCAATAAGGAACACGTAGGATTAGAGAAATTCTAATGTCTCAAACTCAACTTTTTCAAATTCAGTGAGTAAGAAATGAAAATGGGAGAATCAGGTCAGGTTTAAGAAACTCGAACAAGAGAAAACCGACACTCGCTCGGGCGATTACATCGATGAAACTACAGAATGCACTTTCGTATCTTAGCTTGAAGTAATATAACCCGAAAATGAAAATTTCCGAGTAAATATCTACTGTTAAGTTGTTGTCTTAGCAAAATTGTTTTAGTAATAAAATATTAAGGCGAAGAAAAAGACATTTTGGAATCAATCAATGGAAAGTATTTAAGCAATAGTTTTAAAGTTTTGATTTCCGATTAAGCCAGCCTGAAATTGATAAATTAGGTTGCACCATTCGATTTTAAATAGTGCTTAGGATGTACTGCAGTAAGGAAATGAAGAAAAATCAATCTGGAATTGTTACTTGGACACCTAGAGAAACAAAATTTTAGCCAATAAATTTGGCGTTTTCAACTGAGCAATTAAGTAATACTTGAAAATAGAATAGTCGTTTCTAAAATATAATCCATCTTAACGTTGCACTTATATTTATTAAAAAGGCTTCACAAGTCCTTTTTGCTTCTTCTTGATTTTGGTAGTACAGGAGATTTCGGTGGTTCTGGCTCGTTATTTTCATCGTCATCTGGAAAAGAATTTGCGAATTCAATTAGCCTTAAAGGAAAAAGTCTTTTCAAAATTATAAGTTAAAACTAAAAAGAGACCATCCAAAGATATATTGCCATTCATAATTTGATCAATCCAGGACTGAAGTACTTCTAGGTTGCTATCCTGATGTTTCTTCGGATCATCAAGATTCAACTGTGACATGTCGAACCATATTCCTTCTTTCTATAATGGTAATATTTTGAAATTGAACCTAATTCTCAGTATTCGTCATCTGTGTGTCAAAAGTACATATCTGTAAATTAAAAAAAAAAAAAAAAAAACTTCCTCTAATTCATCACAGATGCGTTCATAACAGTTTTCAATTTCCCTTGTAAGTTGCACATAAATTTATGTAAAAAGAATGCTGAAATAAAGGATATACTTCAGAAATGTCAATGAGGCCAAGTTGTGGACCTCCCTCAATATCAATACCGAACATTTCTTCCCAGATATCCACCATCAATGGAAATTCATCTGCAACTGATCGACTAACTTAAATCAGTTGAATAATAGAAAAAAAAATATAAATAGCAATTGTATTTTTTAATTTAGCCTGAACTGAAAAGTGAAAAAGAGATCACAAATTGATTCTGAGTACGCTAGAGACGAGTTCAAAAGTACCTGGATCTATTAACGAAATTTTTAGCATTCCAGCATGTTCACTATTTTCATCGGCAATTTTGCGGAGTAATTTGAACATTGCTCGACCTTCGCGTGATTCCTCATCACAGAATGCAACAATCAGTTTGTCACTGTCATCTCGATCCTTCTGCAATTCTAGAATTTAATACTTTAAAACTCTGAAGGAGCTGCACACCAAAATCTCGATATTATTACCCAAACATTGAAATAATTTTGTAGGGTTAGTTTTTGCATTACTGGCTTCTTGTGTTTTTCAACCCAACTCTCGAATTCTCCTTCGGTATCCACCGATATCGGAGCATAAATAGGATCATCTTCAAATGGTCGTAACATTTGTACTTCACCAATTCGTTTTAACCCCATTTTACGAGCCCACTAAAATGATCTTTTAAAAAACTTGCTTTTTAAGTTTCAAAAAATAAAAGGAAAGGAAAGTGCTAACTATATACACTGTTTTGTAGAAAAAATCTTGATATTACTTTTTCGAAAATAACTAACATAAGAATTGACGACAGCATAGAATTCCACCTCACCCATGAAATCTTCAGCTGCTTCTTCAAATTCTTTTAATGCTGAAAATAAGTGATTGACTTCATACGCTTCAGCGTACTTTATTTAAAACTATCAGAGCTATTCACTTCATTAACTTAAACTATTTATTATCAATAAACATCATCATATCAAAAAGAAATTAGTATTAAATAATTCAATACTGATCAATACGGCATAAGATACAATTTTAATAAGCTAACCGACGCTGCCTGGTTCAAAATAACCGATCACCCTAACAACGTCATCTTCTAACGTTTCGAATCCTTCCTGGTCATGTTCATCATTTATTATCATTACTGGATCATCAGGAATCTGAAAATCATTTATATTGTTTTACTAATACACAGTTAAATTAGAGGTTGGACTTTCACAATTTTAATTCATGTGAATTCTGAAAAATAAAAAATCACTGAAAAAAGGATGGTAAAGAAATAAAAAGATAAAAATTAGAATAATTACCATATCTTTTCAAGACTTCCAATAAGAAAATCTTGTCAAACAAAGGAATTTCAAAATGATTTGAAAGAAATACTAACATCCATTAGCCATGAAACAAATGTTTCTGGGTCTCGAACGCCAAAATATTCAATTTTATAGCCATCTTTATAGACATGTATAGTATCCTCGCCTTTTTCAACATCTGAAATTTTTTTCAGCTGCATTTTCAAACTAAAGTGAAATTTCTTTATTCTTCCTCTTACTTTCTTGCTTCCTTAATCGTGTCTCTTTTGTCGTATTTACAGTGTAGAAACTGTATCCTCGTTTTGTCATTATTTGAGCCGATAACTGTAAAATTTTTAATTACTGAACTGAATACAACTTTTTTGAATATTCTTTAAAACATTGCCCAAATGATTTTATTTGGTGTAGTAGTCACGGAAATCACTTTTCATTTAAACTTTCAAAAAATAAATTAGTATTTTGAAAGCCAAAAACACAAATATACTTGTAAAAAACATTCATATTGATCCAATTCAGGATCATCTTCTTCAACGTCGTTGAAAAAAACAATTGTTCTAGAGTCGCTTGCTAGCACCGTTTTATTAAAATTTTTTTCGCTTAAAACCTGAAAACATTATGTTTTTTATTCAGCAACAGTTAAACTGTAGTAATTCTGAGCTACGAAGTTAAAAGTATAATTACCAAAGTTGCTCTTAAATTAATTAGCAAAATTGAAATGTTCTTGATTCAAATCAAAGTTCGGAATATTTTGTAATTTGCCGCCAACTCAAAAAATGTGTTTTTGCTTTTTAATTATCAGAAATGCGTACAAAAAAATCCATGGTGATAAAAAAGAATTGACAAGAGAAATAGAAGGACGAAATATTAAGATAAGTCATAATCCGATTTGGAAGAGCGAAAACGATAACAGAAAGGAGAGATTTTTGCAACGTATTACAAAACGAAGTGGAATTTAATGTCACACCAACCTCAGTTCGGTCAAACCCGTCATATTCTAATTCTGGATATCCAAGAAACATGCAGTTGATATCCAATGTTTTTGCACTGGTAGCTTGTCTTGACCTTCTTATGAACGATAAAAGCAGTAAGACGACTTCCAACCGCATTTCTTACCTGAAACTTATTTTTACACAGTTTGTTTCGTCTATTTCCACCGTTTTCACTAAGCGATGAAACGCCAATAGATGAGTTGAAGGCAGATGTTTTCAGTACATGAGAATAAAGTAATATCCAGTAACAAAAGCTAATAAAACACTACTCTTTCACTACTTCCGTGCAAGTTAGAATCAACAGTCAAACTAATGCCGCTAGTCCTGATGAGTTGAGAATTGACATTTATTAAGATTTAATGAATGCAGAAACTTGTATTTCAAAACGGACAACAAAATGATTAATATATTAGTTCAAAAAAAAAAAAATAATTCATAGATTCCGATTTGCAAAACCCATGAATTTCAATGGTATGAGGAAGAGAACATAAAAGAAAATATACCGAGATTGGATTTTTGAATTGCAGAAGACATTACGGTAGTCACTGAACCGTTCATTCGTAGTATGAAGAGCATAGCTGCAGTATATAATAAATAAACTGTAGCAAAATTCAAGGGTTCATCAGGAACTCCTGGTAATGAGAACTCCATCAGGATTAGTTTGTGTAAAAATTGTTCAGCATTAAAAAATACTAATTTAAAAATAGAAAATCTATGTGACTATTATGTTGAAAAGAGCAACCAAAGAACCAGGACATTAACTCTAAGAATTGTAAAAATATAAAAATTATGAATGTGTTTATTAGTGTACTTACAAGAATAGTTTAGTAACAAGATCTTTCGGCTTAGATGCAGGACTTCGTTCGTTGATGACAGCTTAGCAGCAGATAGCAGGAGAGCAATGCGAAAAGGTTGATCAAATTGATTTTTATGGTAAACGTCATCAAAATGTTTTTTATTCTGGTATAAAGTGGACAAAATAAAAACGAAAAATTGATGTGAAATGTATGAAGTGCTGAAAGGAAGCTGCTCTAAGAGAAGATTTGAGATGTGGCACTTCATTTAGATCCTTACATCTATCCTACACAGACATAGTTCTGGAAGAGCAAGAAAACAACCATCAACTCAAAAGAGAAAAACAAATGCTTCCGTGGAATTTAGCTTCTTCATACTATGATGATTTATAGATGTGTGTGACTAGTTGTTATTTTAACAATTCTAGTTTTCAGGCCCTCTTATTCATCAACCTTCTTCTATTTCTAATTCTCCTTCATTCTGCCACTTTTCATCCCGTGAAAACATAAAAATGCAACACTAACAAATGCAATATTAATATTAAGAATGAGTTCCATCCAGAGGGAATAATTAAAGAAATGTGTGCTTCTTTAGAACGAGTGGAAATTTGCTCCTTCCATTCTTTCTATTACTTGCACTGATTCATTCGATATGGCACACCAAATAGAAGCTTATGCAAAATTCATTTATGAGAAATGAAGAAAATCATTCCATCCTATTCTCTTTGAAATAAAATAGTAAAAATAACTTTTATTTATTTTTTTAAGACTCCTACCTGCACGATTCTAACAGCTTTTTTTTCTGCTTTTTCATACTTGACTTTGAATATTGAAAAATCTGTAAAGGGTGAATCATTTCAAAGATTGTTATAAATCAAAGAAAGGGAAAAAAGGAAGAAAATAGCCGTTTCTGAAAGCTCAAAAATTCAAATTATGAAAGAATCTTTATCACTGTTCAAACTACAAAATATGGGAAAAAAAAAGGAAAGCTTAACACTTTCTTCCTCTTAAACCATTCATTTCAGCGTTCATAATGAAATCTTTGATCATGCAAGAGAGTTGGCTTTGGTGGAAGATAATAGAGTTTACGTTGACATATCGGCCGCCTCTCTTGGTGAACTTTCTGCAGTTTAAGAGATGAAAGATGATGAAAATGAGCAACTAACATCGCTGAAACCATTCCAATAAAATAAAAATCAGAAAGTAAAAAGTGATATGCACCTATGTATTCCTGGAATCTCTTAACTTTTATGCTTGCTGATCTATATTTGTCGATAATAACGCTTTCCAACTGAATCCAAAGCAAAAAGTTAGTTATATCTTTTTGATAAAATACGCTCAATTGAAGCTTCATTACTTCTATTGGTTATTTTTGCTTTAATAGTCCGATTTCACTGAGCAAATATCAAGAACGTGACGTTGTGGAAACTGGATTATGTTACTGACACCCAGGATGAAAGTGCCTTGAATAAACTTATGTAAAATGTGTGTTTAGCATGTTTGTCATTACTTAATGGATAAGGTCATTGTTTCCCAAAAAAGTTTTAAGCTCGGGCTAATAAGAAATTTAAAGATCTTGCTAAAAGACTGATTTGTTTGGTAGGTTTTAAGAGTGTAAGGCAATCTTTTAAACTTAAAATGTGTCTTTAAAAAAAAAAAAAAAAAAAAAAAAACAAATAATTTTCGGTCAAAATATCAGGTAACCTTTATAGTTAGAATTACGGTCATTCAAAATTTCGTACAAAAGCGCTGTTAATACTGCATGTAATAGGCATAGAAAAGAAGTGAAAGCGATGTCAGATAATAATTAATCAAGTATACAATAATTGTGAGTTATAAATAACGAAGAATGACACTTCACGTGATAGACAAATGAGATGAGGAGATGCAAAAATAATGATTTATAATTTATTTTCGAGTAAATAAATATCAGCCTAATACTTCTTTTAAAATTCAGTTATCTTTAATTTCTGAACGCAGTGGCGCAGAAATGAGGCTAGAAAAAAAGAATTGGAAAGGTGGGCGATAAAAACAAACATGAAGTAATCGTATGAGTTACAGTTATATCATCGTTTTCTCAGAGCTTCTTTCCTCGGAATTTCATTCACGTCAAACTGTTTGCCTGAAGGAAGCAAGAAAAGAAAAATTTGCATCTGCTGATTTCTCCGCAAAATGTATTGAACCTTGTACTTTTTATTCAAAATTTTCATCAACTATACCTTCAGTGTTTTGTGTAGGTGCAATTATGCAGTATGCGGATGGAAGAGAAGATTTGACGTTAACGTACTAGATCAAAAGCAGATAATTTTCATATTTCAGTCTAGAAGTCCCATTACTTTAGCTAGAGAATCCCTTTATTGAGATCGTAACTTACATTATGAAAAGTGTCCAAATGCAGTGAGCCGAAGCGTTGGCAAAAGCAGTTTTTTTGATAAAGTATTTTAACTTACGGTTGCAGCTAAGTCGGAGTAAATGAAGTTTAAAGTAAAAACACTATTTTAGATGAATTTATATGACCTAAACCTCGATAACACATTCTTTTATATGAAGTTAATGTTCAACTGGCTAAACAATCGACATTCGGTTGAATTTTAATTAGCCTACTCGGAGAAATCAGAAAGCATCACAGGTAACGCGTAAAACAAAAACTTTTCCACTTTCTTATATAGCGCAAAAATTTCTTTCCATTTCTGATAGGATGGTACAAGTAAAATGCAGTGGTTGTCATAAGACAGAGTCTGATTCAGGTAGATTGTAGCTTCGAATAATTATTACTTTGCAGAGAAGACGACATTTGAAAAATGTTTATTTCAATGAGATAAAAAATACCATTGACCATAGTTATAGAACAATATTAGGAGAGCAGTGAATGACAGATTGTTATCTAGAAAACTTAACCTCGATAAAAGGATATAATTCCTTATACAGTGAGCATTAACTGATAACAAGACGCATGATTTGAAATGTCGCAAAGGAGGTCAGCTAAATGATGCCAAATTCGAGTATAATTTATAGTTAGTAAGGAACCGACAAACAAAAGAGGTCAACTAAATGAGGAGCTGATCCAGCAGGTGTTCTTTGTTAACAGACAATGCAAATTAAGTAACAATGTAAATAAACTCAGCTATATGAATGATGAATATTGGATAAATGATTTCTTACGTGACACTGAGACATTTGTCCAAGGAATGTTCAGACAAGACAGTCTTTAATTCTATGGATTTAATATAATTTTATTTATACGTATCATAATTTCCGACAATGGTTCAGCTAATATCAACTTTCGCAATGGATCTTTTAATTGAAATGATTGCATTTCAACACTGAAATGTCGTTAAACTTTTATTCTGCCTAGCTTTTTTTTACGATAATCGAAAACACTATAGCTTCGTTTTGAACCTATGTTCGCCGAAGCTTCTTGACTTAGCTTCGAGAGCGAAGATTTGTAAAGGATCTCCTGCTCACGTTGCTGTAAACCTAAAAAGATAGTGCTAAGCAAATCCCGCTGCAATGCGCAGTAGAAGGTCATAATGGGTAATGCGTATCTTTTTTCCCTTATCTTTTGGAACAGTCCCATGTATATGTAGCAATAGTATGGATGGTATACCATCATGTCTCTCGATGTGAGGCCAGAGTGAACCACTGATGGTATTCAGATGTCTAAGGCTGACTGTTTCAAAGAATTCCTGTACTCTTTTTTGGGACAGATCTACTGCAGTAAGCGTTGACGAGTTCATCACAACTAATAATCTTCCATCCTGAAGATGAGATCCGCCCAGTGTAATTATTTCTTGGGTAGCATTACATTTACACTAATGACTTGCACGTATTCTAGAACGATAATATTGATGTTGTTTAAGATCGTGAGAAAATAAAGTTGATTAAACTGTTCAAGCAGTGTTTTTAATTCCCTTGTGACTGAATATAATGGTAGATGATCCATGTACAGAAGGGTAGCCAGTATGATGGTTTTGTAGATACTAACCTTAATGTTTTTCTTCGGCTGTTTATTGTTCTATACTTTTTATGAGTTTTCCAAATACTTTATATACACCCTCGTTAGCCTATGTCAATCTTTTTGCTATTTTACGCGTCCGAGGAAATCGTACTTTTTATATAGGCAAATTGTTGGACTGATATAAGCTTTAATATGTCTACAGTGATAAGAGAAGGATGATTATCTGTAATTTCTGCAAAGCAAGAAGTAATGCACTGCAAAGACGCTTCCATGGGCAACAAGGGTAACATTGTTTAACAGAGAGAAATTCTCGTACAAGGTGATCTGAAATTTTGGCATGTGCTTTCCTTGTAACTGAATAAGCTCCGTCGTAGGATATGGAATGTAAATACCTTTATTCATCATCGAGCTTTGTCGTGACACCTTAGAGCATCACGGTGAATACTGCAAACAGAATTGATGTGAGAACTCGACACTGTTTTCACGCTGTTGATTATCAGAAAGGACTCAGAGTGAATTGACATATCTGACTTAACCGGTCATCCAATAGGGTGAGTCATCTTGAATTTAGGAGGCAGCTTGGTCGTTTCAAGATTTCTCATAAGCCTTTTTTGCTCATTGTGTTAAATGCTTTGATGAGGTCAACGAGTGTTCTATAGAGTCCTCCATCGTGCTCTATGTACTTTTCTTGCATTGTCTCAGAACAAATATGTCATGTCCTTACTAATCTTAAAACCACACTGGATCTCAGATAGAACCTCAGACGCAATGGTGGGTACTAACCTATTTACAAGTATTCCGTAAGAATTTTGCCAGCTGCAGAGAGCAAAGTCGATATTTTGAATAGTCGAACTTTGCTTCTTTTCATGCAGGATGATGATTGCGTCTTGGAGATCTGTAGAAAGTTCGTTTCATAGTAAGCTTGTGAAATTTAGCGTTGAATACACGGTCTCTACGTCTCCAGATTTCGGATGGAATTATACCAAAACAGATGCCTTGCCAGATTTCATCCGCTATAAAGGCTTTAAGAGTCTCCTCCAAAGTGGGAGTTACATCCACTTCATTTCCACCGACTGCTGCATGATGTACTGAATTACTGAAAACTTGGATAGTAGATACTGAGAGACTGAAAGTGTTCAGGTCATAGGTTTAGAATAGAAAGTTTGTCTGTGAGGAGGCAATTATCTGAGCTAACAGCAGAGTTCTAATCTTATGTACTGCACTACTTGTTTGTCATCGGAATTTTTTTTTTAAAGTTAATGCATGCAGAATGAAATTTCCTTTGCAAGACAGAATGTGCCAGCGAGGTTTACTTGATCAGCTCTCTTTCTAGACTGTTTTCACCAAACTAATCTTCGGATTCTTTGATAAGATCCAAATATTCTGGTGGAGAAGACTGCTAGTCGAGGATTGATGGATGTCGTTTTGATGAGTTACCAAAGTGCTATAGAAGAGGATCTATGAGATGGATTGCAGGTCTGAAGATAAGCCTGAAAGTTGTCCCTCATGTGAAAATTTCAGGGTTATCCACTCTGAACCTCTTTCTTGGATATGACACATATCGCAAATTCATCTCGGGCATACTAAGCTGATGATGCATCCAGGCTGCTTTGCATTGTATTTTTGCTGAGTTATCTAGTGCTCCTATCCGAGCTGCAAATCTCTTCTCTACTGAAATAACCAAAGACTGCGATCTTATCGTCTACAGATAAAGGCGAAGGTTGCCGCACAATGTGGTTTTCTTTTGCAAAATAAGCTTGAATAGTTGGGGCATACATGCCGAAAGCGATAGCATGTTGCTTGTTGTTCACTGGAAGGCATAGGAAGTGTCACCAGGATGACCAGTCGACAAGTTAACAAATTCGAAAGTGCTTCAGTTATTGACCATTAAGCTAACCCTTGAATAGGAACATTGATTTCCTGTTCATCTAACCAGAGCTGTATGTAGCCAGTACCACTTCCTTTGAGACTTCATGCAAAGAATTTCACTGAGACAAACCGTGAATACTGAATTGTGCCAGTTCGTACGTAGGCAATTATAGCAAAACGACACTCGATACATCCCATTATCGCAGTGGTGTACTAACACGTAAGAGCCAATTTGAACACGTCTTTGGAGGTAGATGTATACTCTTGTTTCTTGTTCTAGTTCGATTGCAGCAGAACATGCTAGCCGAGCAAGACAGCTCTAATCAGACCATCTATTCGCTCCTCCACATGAAAAAGAAGTTTAGTTATTCAAAATGCTAACAAACAAGATTGCCACCTCAGTAGACAACCTTGAGTGACCTGGACCATTTGCATGCAGTGCTGAGTCGCGGGTTTCCAGTGCATCTTCAACCTACGCTTCCGCTTTTTACTGTCACTACAGGACTTTATAAAACCGGGTATATTTTTCAAACCTGCGCAAAAGCTTTTTTAAATGAGTCGCATCATGCATGAATTGGTCCCACCCTTTAAACCTGTAAATCTAGCAGATTTGGATAATGGCAGAAAAATCCTTCGCTCATAGGTTTGTGTGGAGTATCCTCCTCATAGACGGACGGCTTTGCTTCATTCTACCTCGGTTGAAGTCAAAGTCACCCTTCTGAGATGGCTACTCTAAAGTTGATGAGCCTATCCTCCTCAAAACCACACTTTGTCTGACTTCCAGTTGAGACCTATCTGCTTTGGAAGCCCTACCTGAGGCATATGCTACCAACTTCACAAAGGCAAGCAAGGTCCTATTCACGACAAAGTTGTGTCAGCAGAAGCATCGCAGGAACTACCATCAACATGAATGCAAATGGTATATATGACTTCGAACGTGAATTACGCACTGGATCTTCCCACTGTACAATTGATATAAATCTTTAAGGAATGTTATTACAATAAGGAAAAATAAATTAATTATCACATTCTTTTAATAATTCCTTCAAAGCCATATTTTCTTTCCTTATTTGCATCCAGTCGTTAACAATACACTCAAGTTTTTCATTTATGTTCTTTTGATACTGCGTAGCAATCTTCAATGAAAAGATTATATATCTTGAACAGGTGACATTTAACAAAGTAATTAAGAATTTCTTCACCTTATTTCTAAGAACCAAAAGCATTTAGAAAATGGTAATATTAAAGGAATTGAGCAAAATACTCTACCTGGTCGTTTAGTTCTTCAATTTCTCGTTCAATTTGTCCAGCAGAATCAATGCCAGTGATAACACAAGAACATTCACTATGAATTTTCATCAGTAGCCTGTATGCTTTTTGCATAAATGTATCTTTCTCAACGTCCTGTAATGTGCATCTGCACTTAAGATCTCAAATGGTATCACAATACATAAATATATCTAAAATATACATATTATAGAAGACTTTAGTAACAAATAATGCAAAAGAGATACTCTGTACAGTTTTCCTTCAACTACGGTGAAAGAACGTTCCAGTTTTCCCGCATTCGACTTGATTTCCCTCTGAAGATAGAGATTTTCTGCAGCAATCTATAAATATGGAGAATGTGTCTAAATAAGTAATAAGACATTTTTTGATCCACTGAACTTTTCAGCTTTCCAAATAAAGACTTTAAAATTTCTCCATTACGTGTATGCAATAAATACGATAACATTAAACAGTATTACTGGGGCATACTTCGTTAATTCCTTATACAGCATACTTTGTTACATACTTTGTTAATTTCGTTTTGCTGCTTCCTAATGTTGCCAACAACATCAAATATGTGTTTCGTATAAATATTTCGATTAATCTGTTTCTTTTCTCGTGACTCGACCTCTTTTTTCTAAAAAAGAAATCAATAAAATTGATCCAAACTTTTACTGCCGGTATTTAAAATGAACCTATCAGTGCAGCGAAACCAACCAATTTTTCTAGAATTTTCTTTTTATCAACAAGTTCATTCTCAATTAATTTCGCATCATTGGATGAAATTTCTCGACTGTAGCACGGAACGGTGAAATCCTAAAATAACTTCAGTTTAATTTTTATAATCATGAAATTGAAATTAGCTATTTAATGATTCAATGTTACAACGTACCGATGATAATGATAATGCAACAGTTAGCTGTGCACTCTTCACTTCTTCATCCTTTTCTGCCTTGGCTTTCAACCATAAATTTTGAAGATGCTGCATCCGTTCATTACTTCCATCAATATAACTCTGGAAAAGTATATTTAATCACCTTCAAATATGCACTCCAATAAGAGATAGAATGTGCAAAACAAACCTCAAGCTTCAAAACAGCATTTGGATTCTCTAATAATTTTTTCAGTCGTCCATCAACTTCAGCCTCTTGAAACTTTTTGTTTCGTAAAATTAATAATCGTTCACTCTCATCGTTTTGCATCTGCAACAAACTGAATTTAACTCAATTAAACATTCTTTGATTGTTACATAAAGAATAAAACATAAAGAAAAATAGCCGAAATGTCTATTTGACCAGTAAAAAATGAATACTGCAAAACAATAAAAAATATTACTCTGCTGTTGGAAATCTTCTTACGATCTACATATGCTGTCAAAGCCACAACTTTACTAAGCAGTTCGTTAAGGACTTCATTTTTTTCTACATCCACTTCTGGATCAATTTCTTGTTTATCCTTTGTTTTTTCCTTTTGTAGTTTTAGAGAAATAACTGGTTTAGGTTTCAATCTGAAAATGCCAAAAAAAGTTCCGAAGACGTTCAACCGTAAATATCTTTTGTCTTAGTGTAGTAGGGATAAATATCACAGGCTTGAAAAAATTGAAGATACGGGTTTAAAAAACCGAACAAAACTTACTGTAGTTTCACTCCCTCGTTAATAAATCTAAGGTGCAAATTTTCTAAAACTCCATGTCTAAGTAATTGATAGTTTTGTGTCTTAATTTTGTGTACGGCATTGTTTTCCAACAAGGAACAAATAACTGCATAATGACGGTATCGCCAATCATTACAATGTAAAGCTACCATAACATCACCAGAGAAACCTACGAAATCGACCCTTGTCGATATAGCCTAAATCATTTTTTGAAGAACAAAAGAAAAGCTATTTAAGTCATAGCTATACAGCACAAAAATTTATGGTGTCATCTATCCATACTTGCTTTTGAGATGAACTAAACCGAGTAAGAAATCCTTCCTTATCTCCCTCTTCAAGGTTAGCTGATCGCATTAGGTCTTTCAATGGATCTGTAATAATTATTCTAAATTATCGAACAGGAAAAATGTAGTATTTAAAAATCTGATAACAAATATGACTTTCAATAAATCCTTTGGGAAGAAAATGTTTAAAATATGTATACTGATGTGACACAAAAATTATTTTATAAGACATGCCTTCCACAGAAGTAACCACGGAAGACTCTTTGGGCAATTTTTCCATGAGACCAATAAGAATATTACGCAACTCTCTGCTTCGTCCATATAGCAACATATGATAATCTATTGGATCACGTACACCAATGCTCTGCAGAAAAAAACTTCAACAAGAAAAAATCTTTACTGAATCCAATTTCAACCGGAAGTTTTTGCTCGAGACACTTCTATTTGAAAAAGTTTAAATTTAAGTCTCTCTTTGAGTTACATCAATATACAAATAAAACTAAAATTTGCCTTCACTGCATCGACAACAGTTGTAACACATCGAAATTTCGTAGACATATTTTGGGGAAGAAATCTTGAAGGGATTTCTTTCCTGAAATGCATAACACTTCACTATTGCATCTTATCTAGCTAAGCAATTCGTTATTGTATAAGTGATTAATAATCGACATTACCTTGTAGTTGGTCTGCATGACCATACCAGCATTACGATAGCTTGATAAAAGATATCTGTGCGAAGCTCTGTAATACTGCTTGGAATCTCTTGTAGACTATCAAAAAAGTTCCTGAAATCGTGGTACTGGTTAATCTATGCGTTCAAGTTTCTAATAAAAACAAAAAGAATTTGATGAAAGGAAAACGAACGGATCAAGACGACATAGTGTATCAATAATTTGACCGTCAACGACGTCCATGCTTGCTGGGGTTACGTTCAAATACCAAGCGCCACTAAATGTCCAACTTTACTCTGATCATAACTACTCTGTAAGTCTCAAATCTTCGTTATTAGTATAACAACCTCTAGTATAACAGTCAATTTAGCTATAATCAAGGTCCACACCGACCGTTTTACTCCATTATGTTTTGCCGAACCAGCAATCTCTGCCTCTCTTCAAGTAACACGCTGCTTTCTCAGATATGTCAAATTCTATTATTCTTCCACCCTGTGTACACTGCCCGTTCCACATAGATTACTGCTGCTGTCTGTTAGGGTCCTTCGGTAAATTAATAGAGGTTAAACGGGGATCCTTTTAATTGAGAGGTAAATTAGATCATAGACAGAACAGAATATATACAGCATCTAGCAGTTGCAGAGATTAAAAACCGTCTAACGTTGATCGTCCAACATCGCGCGGCTTTTCTCCAGACTTCGTGAAACTTCGGGAAATATTTGTCTCCTTTATACATTAAAGCATTAGGTGTCCAGATCGATTTCTAAAGCAATATTTTCCTTAAAAAATGACAAAATTCTATTCAAGTATTAACATCATTTTTGTGAGTTGACAGTCTATTCAATTTTCAGATTATTTCAGAGGGTTAGCTTCAAGTGGTTTAATGTAATGTTGTGGAAATGAATGCTGCATATCCAAAATGTCCTGCTGTTGGCTGAACTTTTTGTTAAGTGTTATCGTTGTTTAACTTTATTTTGAATTGATAAACGATTAAAAATTCTTGTGTAAACGATCATTTGTCTGGCTTCTGAGCAGACGACCGCGGGTGTTGTGACATTATGAAGAGCTAACGGGGACTTGGCTCAGGTTATCTGTACTTCTCACTACCACTATATCGACTTTTTCTCATTAAAAATATGATTCACATGAAATGAAATATTTGGTGCATCGCGGCACTTTGTAGGTATAGTAATGCTTTTTCGCTTATGACATATTTCCATATTACAACTGTTGTGACGGATTCATATGTTAGTGTAGTAGGACCAGTGGTGTTTGGAAGGATGGAAGTCCTTGACTTTCGTTAATGCAAGCAGAAAAATTTTGACAAAATTTTTACTCAATACTCGATTTTAGATTATGGAGGTTTTTGGGATTGCAATAAGACAGTTGCAATCCCAAAAAGTTTTTAAAAATGCCTTTAGTATTCTAATTCTTCGTGGTATATAATCACCTAAGGCAAACTTTTTTTTAAAAAAGAGTCGGCAAGGCCCGATAATTTTATGATTTTTTCTTTTACATAAGAGTGAGGAAAATGACCGGAATAAGTTGCTGCCATTTCGCTGTTGTATGAATATAAGCACTTTGTTTGGCACATTTTTTACTTAAATATTAACTGAGTAGTTTGATCTCGAGGTATTAAAAGTATTTGCGGAAGAATTTCTGTACAGCACTTCTGTTATCTGCCATACAGATATTTCTATAGTCATAATTTTAAAAAATACATAGCCTCTACTTCAGAATTTAAATTGTTTGTTACCTTCCAGTTTATGTTGACAAATTAGATTGAAATCTCGAGTGTGCATACTCGCATGTTCTGAAGTGACAATTCCTATATAAACGTATCAGTTTGTCTTCTACAATTCTTGCATCCCTTCTTGTTACTTCATATGAAGGAGAAATTCAGTAATTTAAGAACAGCAGCATAAGCTAAGAATCGTGGAACTTCACTTTTTTAAGGACAGGAACAATTTGCTTAATACGCACATCTGTTACAAAAAAAGCATTTACCGACGATTATCATTAGGTGGTAGGTTTCCTGCTAAACACTTCACTCGTCGCTGTATGGAATATAAATTTAATACCATGAAATGAGTCCCAGCGTTTTTTCTTTTTTTTGCATCTTCCATCAACTAGACGTTAAAAAGAAGTTAAATTTCACCGTGTAAGACACGAGATTCATTCCATAAACCTTTTTACCTGTGTAACTCCTCCGTATTCTTTAAATATTTCATCTGAAGCATAGTTCCCAGCCAAATTTATTTAAATATAGCTAGAACTGATATAACTTCGAGTAATATATCCAATACACCGATTGCAAGGAAGCTAATAGTCGCTCTTACCGCCCTCCTGTTATGTGAATATGTGTATGTGTGCATGCATGCATGTATGTATCTGTGTGTGTCAACTTTCCTGATGTCACTACCCATAGTTCAAATCTGGATTTTCATTTTCTTTTGATATTTCAGAAAAGTGAAATGTGGATTTGATGGATAAACTAAGCTGATTAGTTGGCTGCTTGGTTAGGCTGCTCATTGAAGGCTCTTTGAGGCTTTATTGCTTGTTATTTGCTGACACAGCTTTCATTGACTTTGTTTTTGCCTTCCTAATAGCTGCAACTTAAGCATGAACATGCATATAAATATATATATTATATATATACATGACTTTGGGTTGATATGGTATACGTGAGTGCATGAAGAAACTGCATGTTTGGTTGCATTTGGCGCGTAGCTTGCATCACAAATAGTGAATGTATTGCTTGCTTGGTAATACACATAAATTTAGATATAATATATATATATATATACGCCTCTGTTTGCCTCCGAAACCCATTACTCGAAAACCATTCAATTTGGACAGGCAATTTTGCGGCACCCCAGAAGATTCATTGTTGGAAGGAACGCACTTCTCTCTTCTTTTGCCACACATTCATTGTGATCGATGTACCATCTGTTGGCAGGCTAGCCGCAGTCCCTGTAAATCTCCGTTGAGTGACAATCCTTTTCTTTGTTTCTGATATGTTCATAAACTTTTCAAGTCATTTTTGATATATATACATCCATTTATACCTGAATTGAGAGATCCGATAAATGGAAGCTGTGTTCCGAAAATGAAACAGGCAAACATTTCTTAGCTTTATGTCCTTACATTTGTTCCATTTATTTCCAATCTATTATTATCTTGTACACCGTATAGCAAAGTTACATACAGTCAGTAGAATTAGCTGGTTTACTAATGAGTTTTAGGTAGAATTAAACTCGCAAAACTCACTATTTTCATGATCAAGTTTTATTTACCAGCTGACGCAAGTTCATTCTTGTTCCTCTTTTCGTCACTTTTTTTTATTGGTTTCTTCCAATTTGGTTCGGAATTTTTATTCTAAAAATTTCAGTAAATTTCAATAGACCATTTGGATTGCACGTTCTGATCACTGAAATTATTTTTCATATCTTCATACTCAGGTACTGATATTTTAAAGTTGATTGCAGAGCGAACACGTTGCACTATACTTACTATCAATCAATCATTTGCAAGAGTCAGCTTCGTTAATGGTGAACAATATTAATAGATTGAACCCAAATAACTTGCAGCTTATCTGTGAATTTTGATGATCCATTAGTGTCGTTGAAATTTGCTCTTTTAATCCAGACATCTGATGATTGTTTTTAGTTATGTTGTTGTCTTTAAATAACAATTATTATTTGCGTTGCTAAAAAAAAAAGAAGAGTTGGATAGTCTTTTGAAATAGGTGGATAGTGGTAGAGACTTTATTTGCAGTATTTCAGTGTTTCATTAACTTGTTTCCCATTCGTTCCCATTTATGTTTGATCCACTTCAAACTCGGTAACATCCGATTTGGATAACTTTCATATACGGAAAGTCACCGGTTCATTACACATTCATGGTGTTCATTTTCAAAGTAGTACGTCAAGGCCGTAAAAATTTATAAAAAATTACTGCTACTTAAAGGGAAATGAAATTTAAAAGAGCAGAAAAAATTAAATGCTTGTGGACGGACGATTTACCAGTACGATTGCGTTCTTTAATACATTTGATTAAACTGCTGAGCGTTTTTTGATATCGTTCATCTCTTTTTCGACTTTCTTTTTCTTGTCAGGAGTCCGGTAGAAAAAGAGATTGAAGTATCGCAGAAACGCCCACAGTATTTCCATTACTTTGTCTATAAACAAGCTGGTTGATTCGAAATATGGTACGAAAATTCTGAAATATCTGGCTCCTATATAAGGTTAAAAATTCATATCACCTGGCTAGGACTATCGTTTCTTGAAGCTTGATTAGGCTGTAAGAAGAGCTGGGCAACAGGAATGCGATATTTTACCGAATATCTTCATAGTCAGATTTAACTGCGTTTAAAGTTTCAAATTCTTCGTTTACCTGGAAAAGATCGAGAACTGCTCCTATTTCGTTTAGTGACACTTTTCCATTATATATGTTGATGTGCATTAATTGACACTTTGCTTTTTAAAAAGTGCATCAGTCTAATTTTTTCTTCTTTTAAAAAAAGCGTTGCAGAATTTATTTTTTCTCCTCAAATTTTGGTAAGAGGCAAAAAGGAAACGAAAAATTCGTCCTTTAAAGGATAACTGTGACACATTGACACTGAAGTTCTAATTGTGTGCAACGCCTTTCTGTGTTCCATCATAGATAAATTCTTGTAGAGAGAAGTTGTCGTTTTGTGAAGTTTTCGAATCTAACCGTAGGGTTTTGTATTTTCCTGATGTCTTTTTTTTTTTTTGCAGATTTCTTTTTTTCGTTTTTCTTGCGAAATCACTGTTTTGAGGATGATGATGGGAAATTTATTAGAATATTGATTTGCAGCCTCGTAGTTGCCTTTATATTATCGTACTAGAAATAATTCAATAAATCGCAATTAGTAGTGTTGTTTGTTCCAATTTTTAATAGATGAAAAAGCTTGACCTTATGTTTTTCATATCATTATGCTGCATGCATATCTGTTATGCTAAAAATGACAAAATACTGAAGATCCCTCAAACTTTTTTTCATGACGGTATTGATATTCTACATGGGTGATTTTGAGAATATAATGCTGGAAATATTATGATACCAATAATTGTGTGACAATAGAAATGATGTGATGTGATCTAATACTAGTGATGAGTGGTCAGGCTGGGAGCTGTAATATTACACTATTGAAGAAGAGAAATGATGGAAAAGGACGGGTTAAGTGAGAAAGGAAGTGATAATGGAGACGTTCAGGAACA